CATTTGTTTTAAATCTGATAAGTGGTTTGTTGTGATGAATGAAGAGATGGAGTCTCTTCATAAGAACCAAACTTGGGATCTTGTGAAATTGCCTAAGGGCAAAAGAGCTGTTGGATGCAAGTGGGTCTTCAAAAGAAAGGAGGGAATCCTAGGGTTTGAAGATGAAAGATTCAAGGCACGTTTGGTAGCGAAGGGTTTTAGTCATAAGGAGGGGATCAACTCCAATGAAATGTTCTCTCCAGTTGTGTAACATAATTCCATTCACGTGTTGCTCGCGTTAGTGACCCTTTTATGATCTAAAACTCGAGCAACTTGATGTCAATACCCCTTTTTTGCATGGCGAGCCCAAGGAGACAATATATATGTTTCAACCTGATGGATTCGTTGTTAAGGGTAAAAAAGATAACATTTGCAACTTTAAACACTTTTTGTATGGTATCAAACAATCTACACGGCAATGGTGCAAGAGGTTTGATAGGTTTATGTTGGGTCATGGCCACTTGCGGAGTGTGCATGACAACTGTGTGTACTATAAGAGATTATATGATACTTTATTGTTGTTGTATGTGGACAACATGCTTCTTGCAGCGAAGAACATGTTAGATACAATGGTTGAAGATGCAACTTAGCAAGGAGTTTGAGATGTAAGGATCTTAGAGGTGCCAAGAAGATTCTAGGTATGGAGATTCGTAAAGACAGATAGTTTGGGAAGTTATACCTTTCGCAGAAGAGGTATATTGAGAAAGGGCTGGAGTGTTTTGGAAAGAAGAATGCTAAACCCTATAATACTCCTTTGATGTCCCATTTTAGGTTTTCGGCTTCTTTGTCGCCTTAAACCAAAGAAGAGGAAGATGAGATGTCTCAAGTTTTATATTCTAGTGTTGTAGGTAATCTTATGTATGTCATGGTTTGCACTTGTCCAAATATTTCCCAGACAGTTAGTGTTGTAAGCAGGAATATGGCACATCCAGGTAAAGCTTACTAGCAAGCCGTGAAATGGATTCTTTGGTACATCCCAGTACATCCGGCGTACCTTAGATGTGGGTTTTTTATAACACATATTCGGTGTTTGCTTCGTTGATTTTGGCTATGCAGGTGATTTCAACAAAAGGAGATCTTTAACTTTTGTTTTTACGCTTAGTGGTTTCGCGGTTAGTTGGAGAGCAATCTTGCAAGACACGATTGTTTTGTCTACCATCGAAGCATAGTACATGGCAGCGATGGAAGAGGCAAAGGAAGCTCTTTGGTTGAAGCATTTGGTTACAAAACTTAGGGTGAAGCAGGATGGAGCCTCCGTTATCTTTTGCTATAACCAAAGTGCAATCCAGTTGATCAAGAACGAATGTATCATGAGAGAACAAAACATATCGACATCCGGTATCACTTTGTGCGTGAAGAGGTTGCTAAGGGTACGGTTATGATGAAGAAAGTACCTATGGCGGATAATCTGGCAAATATGTTGACTAGACTAGTTCCTTTAACCAAGTACAAGCATTGCTTGGACTTGATTGGCGTTTTTATCATTTGAGTTGCCTAAGCAGAGGTGGCGGCGTTTAATCCCTTGTTTCCTACACCAAGTACGCTCTCGTAAGCTTAGGAGTGTGTCTTGTTGATTCTGCCGTTTTGAGGGGTGGCCTTGTGTGATGGTCACTCTTGGTGGTGAGGGCAAGAGGTCTTGTGGCATTTGGCATAACTCTCTTTTGGAGATTTAAAGTCAAAGTAGATATTTGTTGGGTTTTGACTTTTAAATTGGTGACAATGGTATTTTAGACCATGCACATTTGTTTTGAGGGTTTTTCAAGGGGCACTATAAAAGGGATTTGTTGCACAACACATCTCTAACTCTGCTCTCCACATTCTCTCCATTCTTTGTTCTTCATATCTTCTTATTAGATCTTTAGATTTTGTGACTCACCAAGTAGCTTTTTGACTTTTTGGATTGTACTCTTGTACTTGTTGCTGAAGATAAAGAAACCACACTCTTTCCCCATGTGGTTTTTTCCGTCTTGAGTTTTCGGGTATATTTTCTATCTTGTGTGGTTTTGATTTTACTTTTGTCCTTTTGTTGTTGTGCTTTGATTTATGCATCTTTTGATGTTGTTCCGTAACACGTCTTAGCATGCTTTTCTATAAATTTGAAAACAAGGGAGTCGGGACTTATGTGGAAAGCACGAGAATTTTGGTAACTAAGTAGATAGAAAAAAAATTGAAAACAAAAGAAATGCGAGAACCTAACTCAACTTGAGAGAATTTCAAGAGCAAAAGGGAGAGATGCATGTGTTCATTCGAATTGGTTCATAGTTAATCTCTCTTTACTAGTAGATGGCAAGTTTATCAAAGCAAGGTTCATCATTATTGCTTTTGCGTCTATGTCAAGTTCGGATTTAATGCGAACTCGACAGTTTATTAATCATATCTCATCCACAAAAACCCAAACACATTTTATATATCGAATTCGGTTGCAGGGTTAAATCCATTTTAACCATATTGGGAAGATGAAAAAAAAAACTCATGTAGACGTGTAAAGATGCATCGAGACGTATGCAATTGTAATCAAACATATTAATTTAATGTGGAGGCGATCAACGGCAGGCGGCCCGCTCGGCCTGCCCAAGCTCGAGAGATGTAAATGGACGAGTTTAGGCAGAGATCGAAGGCTCGGCCAAGCTCAAAAGAACCTCTATATAAACTTTTACCTGTGTAATAATAACGCGATTGAGCTTAAATGTAAAACAAGTATGATTTGGACTTGATAGCGGGTCGGGTTGAGCCCGAGACATCATTTGGGCGGGCCATGCATCTTATTTTAGGCCCGTTGAATCATCATCGGTCACACTTGTAGAAAATGTTTCAGAATGCTCTGTTCGTAACTCTGCGACGAGACAAACGCTGTGCTGCACCGGTGAGGACTGCTGCTTTACGCTCCCTCAAGAACATTCGTCGAGCAGGTAATTCGTTCGCTTCTTTACGTTTCTCGCCCCCTGCTGCTCGTGCTCGCTTGCTCGCTTGCTTCTCGTCTCTTCTGAACTTGATCCTCTCGTTTCTGTTCTTTCCCGCGAGCGATCTTGTGGCATTTACATGTCGTCACCTCCGTTGGATGTCCTCGATAATCCCATGTACGGGCTAAAGTTCTTTGCCCAGTTCCTTTCTTTTTCAGTTTTGTTATGGTCGTCTGTTCATCATTTTCATCTCGAGCGCATTATTCTGGAAGCAATGGATGTTCGCACGGTGGGTGTTCGACGAAATGCTTGCCTCGCTCTCTTCGTTTTTGTTTCGAAACTTTTAAAGTCTTCATCCGGCCTGATCGTCGACAGTTTAATCTGTTAGATAATATTGCGGCATAAAGATACATTGAACACGTTTTAGTGGCCAGGGGCGGTATGCCGGCGGCCACCACCAGCCCCCGGTCGTGTAGTAGACCTCTTTTTATGATGGAGTCGGTCGTTATGTTTTTCTGTTTTGGCACTAATGATGGTACTCCGAACTTATTCGAGTGCATTGTGCTTCCTGATGAATGTCCTCGAGCAGTACTACTGGCCAAACATGGAATTGGCGGTGCCTTCGAGCATTGTGCGCTTATTTTATCTGATAGTCTCACCAATTGCCACAAATTTTTCTTGATTTCAAATTTTTCGTGGTTGGGAGAAAAAGGGAAGCTCGACCTAATTGATAGTTATACAGTTCGTGTTGTGCCCACTGAAGACACTGAATTTTAGACCATGAAGTGAGTGGTTGATAAAAAATGACAAGTGCTAGACATTTCACGTGGAGAAAAAAATGATTTGATGGGGAGAAAGAGAGTAAAATCACATAAATATGGAAAAACACACGAGCATAATCATATGTCATCGGAAAACTATATTCTTTTGAAAAGTTAACTATACATTTGAGTGATTAAAAAGATGATCGTTCAATGCCATATGTCCGGGCAGCAGCATCAATGTTGCCACACAGAATAACCTTTTTTTTTATGTTGGGTCAGGGAAATTCCCCCCCCCTTTGCTCTTTGTAGTAATCTTTAGCAGAAAAAGTATATTAATTAAATCATCCTGTATCTTGGTCAAGCGAGAGATGAAATCAATATGAAATAGCTCAAATAATATGTGAGCAAAAAATAAAGCTGCGTCATCTAAATGTGAATCAACGAAGGCTCAATAAGAACATTACCTTCATTATTTTCAATAGACGAATTAACCTCAACAAGTATTACAAAAATGTGATGAGCCATCCCTTACCAAAAAAAAAAATGTGATGAGCCATTTATGTTTTTCAGAGAACATGGAGGCGGAAAGAAACTAGCCCTCCTTGATCATTCTCTCTCGACTTTCATGTCCGAGCAATTAGCTTCCTAAAAGAGGATAACCACTGTTGGTTAGGGCGCTGGAGGATTTTCAATTTAGGAATTAGAGTTCACCCGTCAAATCCTACTACTTGCGTGCGACCTATTTTGGGTCATGGCCAATTGCATAGGTCGATTATAACTTTGTTCTGCATCTTATTTACCTTACACTGTTCCTAGGTTGTATTTGAGTAATAAATTCAATTTTACTATTCTATTTGATGATATAAATTTGAATGAATATGTTTTTTATTACAATTTTAGTTATTAATAATAAAACTGCCACATTTTTAACGTCAAGGGTCACCCCCACGCTCTCCGTCTCTGTCTCTGCCTCTGCCTGTCTTTCATCACATAAGACAAGCCAGAGACAGTGAGTACCGAGTTCTAAGCAACGGAGCGAGGGAGGGATGGCTATGGAAAGGAGAGCTCAGAGGAGGATTCAGTCTCTGTATCGTCATCTTTCACCACAAGCTTCTGATGCGAGCTCGCTTCTTCACCCGGTTAGTATGCTCTCTCTCTCTCTCTCTCTCTCTCTCTCTCTCTCTCTCCTTCCCCGCGCGTGTCTGCTTCTATTTCGTTTGCAGAAAATGTTCGTTGTAATTGGCGCCTAGTCATATCGTGAGTGTTTTGTTTCTGGTGTTGATGATGAAGATTGTACTGAGAGCCGAGCAATTAAGCTTTAGAGATGGTAGAGAAGCTGTGATAATTGGTGGTATGGTGTTGGACATTCATGCCCTACCTCTCTCTCCTACAGCTCCCGGAACCACAACCCCTGGCAAAGTAATTTTGTTTTTCCTTCGCTTATATGTTTGTTCAGTCATTCTCATCCTGTATGATAAAATCTTTCGCGGGCTGTTAACCTTGCTTGTAATGTGAGTTTAAGAAATGAAATTTGTCGATGCTGGCTGCTAAAAAAAGCCAAATTGTGCATCACTTTTTTGTGCTCTTAGTCTATTTTCAGTGGAAAGAGAGGTGGGAGTTCTCTAATTTGGTCCATTTGGGGAAAATTCGAAGTTCCAGGAGTGATCCAACAAGTGTTAATCTCTGTAATTTGGGTTGACTCCCATCTCTATGACTAACATGGAGAACCTAGCCCAAAATAATGGGAGAGGGTTAATTAAAAAAAGCACAAACTTTAGGTCGAGGGACAGTTCGGCTGAACTTTTTTGTTCCATAAAAAAGCACGCCAACTTTAGGTCGAGGATAATTAGGCCTCATCAACTTTAGGTCGAGGACAATTAAAACTCGAACTTTTTTGTCTCGTAAAAAGCACAAACTTTCATTTAAATCCCAAATTTGGCCCCCATTGACTTTACATGCGAAGTTACCCTTGTTTGAGAAAAAAGTTATGGTGATGACCCTGCGAATCTCTTCCATAGCGCGCTGTTGACGGGCGGTGGTCTACGCTTCATATTACGACAAAACGGCGAAGTTTTGCCAAAAAGATTCAATCTGGAGATATTTTTGACTTGCCGGTGAAGTGAAGGAGACGAACGGTTTCACCATTATTCTTCAAGGCTGTAGTTGAAGGGAATAAGACAATAAATAATGCTTTAAATCCAGTTAGTAAGTCACGTGAATTTATTGCTAAGGTGGAATAGTCAAGTTGGAAAATCAATGGTTTTAAGTCAATAAGGGCGAGATTTGGGATTTAAGTGAAAGTTGGTGCTTTTTACGAGACAAACAAAAGTTCGGGCGAATTGTCCCTCGACCTAAAGTTGGTGCTTTTCACGGGACAAAAAAGTTCGGGCCATAATTGTCCCTCGATCTAAAGTTGATGCTTTTTTATGGAACAAAAAGTTAGGGCCAAAATTGTCCCTCGACCTAAAGTTGGTGGTTTTTTGGAATTAACCCTAATGGGAGAATATCATATGAAGATAACGTAGGAATGCAGGATAGACACGACTAGTCATGTAGAATGAGAGAGGTTGAATTGCAGAAACATTAAGAAAGTGAAGATGTAGGATAGGACGCAGAGTCTTGTGCCAAAGAAGCATTACTCCCGTAAGTCTCAGTTCTTCTTTCTGTTAAACTCCCACTGTTTTAGATAGTCATTTGTCCATGAGAGGTCTATGTTATGTACAAATGACTATCTTAGACTATGGGAGTTCCGCAAAAGTAAGATCTAGGACTGATTACGGGAAGGCTTCTTTGGCACAAGACTGTGCAGCTTCTGCTTCACAGAAAGAATGTTTCCTTACCGATTTAAGGATAGGTTTGTAGAAGGGAGTAACTGGTTTAGAAGGAGGTGGTTTTGTCTTTGGAGGAGTGGATTTGTGCTTGGATGATGGTGGCGGAGAAGGTTTTGGAGATGGGTAATAGTAAGTGGCAGGGTAAGATACTGAATGCCAGTACTTACCACTATACTCTCCAAGGGGTCCAATGGTTGGATCTCCGTCTTTTCTTCTATGAAAAATTTCATGCTCGAATGAGCTGCACTTCTTCTTTCTCTTGGAAGGCCTGTTGTCCTTGCCTTTTGGAGGGGCTGGCAGTTCTTACACCGGCAATCTAGATCCCAAGACAATGGCCTATCTGAGGATCCTTGACGCATACAAGGAGTTGTCCTTCATAGTTAAATGACTATATTTTAAATCTTTCTCCTTCACCTTCTTTGTTAGTATGTAAGGCTGCATCATCAAGATTGTAGGAAAGATGGAATAAGAGTTTTCTTCCTTTTCTCTTGAGTGATCAATTTTGGTGACCACCCTGCCGTGCTTTTTCTCAATGTATTCTTACTCTAAAGACTGTATAGGCTAAACTTTTTTACGGAGCTTGTCATAATTAGTCACCTAGGTATCTGGAAGGAGTTTGACTAACTTTGAATAAGAAATTTATCTTGGAACATGATGCATGAAGTAATCTAGTCGTTGTCTACATAGATCAAAAGGGCATCCTCTACTCTTAGCAAAGTTAATTTTATGACGTGGTGAACTCTATGCACCATTTTACTAGTGGAGAGTTGCCACAACCAATTCTAGAGTTGGGGAGCTCTAGCGATTGGTAATTGAACTTTCAGAGTGTAAGCAATCGAAAATTTGAAAGAGCCATATTGAAGTTGGAGAATAGTGTTACAAACATAGTTTTAACAATGAGAGCGGTTTTGAATGTGCCAATACAAGCGTGTTAGTAGTTGAGGAACCTAGTGTAAGTAGTGCCATGCGAACCACTATAGGCAAATTGTTACAACCAACCATGGAAGAAGATAGCAAGGCGAATAGCACCTAAGTGAAGATGCGTATAGCCTTATTGGAGCCACCAACATTGGAACTCTGTAGAGATTTAAAGCTTCGCATAGTGTTCCTGTTCGAGTAGCAGGAATTTGATGTTAATCATAGTGGTTTGATTGGATGTATTCTTTGTCTTCCCTTGGAATATGGTGAATAAACTTTCTACGAATTTTATGCGTAAAAAAGAAGCAAGTTTAGCAAAAGCAGAATGTGGATTTGTAAGAGGGAGATGGGTATTAGAGATCTCATACTTATTGAGATAGATACCTCATTAATGTAGTCGATCTTGGAGGCATTAGAATTATAGTAAGATGTAAGAGCATCAAGAGTAACAGGAGTATCTACATAGATAGGAGTATTGCTTTTTGAGGATTCAGTCATGATGGATCATTCTTCCTCTTGCTACCAACACATTATTAGGCATGGAGGGGTGTATAGTATAGACAAATCACTATCTGAGATAGATATGCTATCTCACTACACGGCCCTTCGCTTGGCCTTTCAAAAGGACTGCCTTTTAGTTTCAAAGCGCCATTTATCTATACCATAAGGCTGCTAGGACTTAGAAATTTTCTAATTCACAATCTATAGAGTGGCGAGTGGAGAGCATAGTTGCGGAACCAATTCATCTTATCGGACTAACCACGTAACTCTTAACTTTTACTGACATCAGATTTCAAGGAAGAAAAAAAAGTGTTTTAGAAAGTCAGGATAGTGTATATAGGCTAGAAGTTTACAAACACTGGTCTTATATAACTTTTCGGAGAAGTAAGCCTTATAAAGGCAAGATTTCAGGTGACACAAACTTTTGTTACTACAATAATGTAAACACGTTGGAATTAGAAAGATGTTTGTACAATACAATAATTCTCACTTTTAAGAAAGAGATATCAGATAAAACAAACAAAGCACTTAACCTATACTAATGGCTGATGATTGTACACTTTTGGGCTTAGTGGATAATAGTACACGTTGGTCCAAGAGATCTTGGTATGGATTCTAGCACAGATGATAGAGATGGGGAATCCAATCTTTGCTCACATCACTAGCCCTTAAATAAGAATTTGCTTCAATAAAGTATTGCCCACTAGCCCAAAATATACTATTGTCAGCGATCAGTATAGGCCAAAATGTTTTGTTTGCTTTATTTCACATCTCTTTCCTAAAAGTGTGAATTACTGTCTTGTAAGAGCATTTTTTGATGGCAGCGTGTTAGTATTATTGTAGTAAGAAAAGTCTATATTGCCCTTAGCCTCGCTTATATTAACTTCCCTCAGAAGTTAAATAAGATTGGAGTTTGTAAACTTCTAGCCTATATACACACATCATGGATAAAACACTTTTCTCTTCCTTAAAAGCTGATGTCATTAAAAGTTTACAATTGCACTATTAGTCCGATAAGATGAATATGGTTTCACAAGAATCCTCTCCACTTGCCACTCTGTGGATCCTGTGGTTCGAAATGTTTCCGAGTTAGGAGAGCCTTATGATATAGATGAATGGTGTCCGGAGAGGGGGCAAGCGAAGGGCTGTGTAGTGGGATAATATTTCTATCTCAAATAGTCAGTTGTTGATACCATTAACCCCTCATGGTATTAGAGCCATCTTCATAAAAAATCGGACTAAAATTATAACCCTAGGCTTGATAATGTGTTGGTGCCAAGAGGGAGAATTATCTCATCATGATTGAATCCCATAAAGCGGTACTCCTAATGTGTAGATGCTTTATTACTCTTGATCCTCCTACCTCTTTAATCCCACACCTCCAAGATCGACTATTTTAATTAGATATCTTACCTCAATGAGAATGAGAAGATCTATAATCCCCGTTTCCCTCTTGTAAATCCATATTCTGCTTTAGCTAAAGTTGCTTCTTTTTCACCAATAATATCTATAAGAAAGTTTATTCACTATACTCCAAAGAATGTCAAGAGAATACGTGTAGTCAACTTGTTTAGATCAACATCCTGTTCTCGCTACTCAACATGAACACTTTGTTAACCTTTCAATCTATCCCAAGTTCCTGCGCAAGTGGTTCCAACAAGGCTAGGGCACCTTCACTTTGGTGCTATATGCCTTGCTCTCTCCTTCCATGGTTGTAAAGGATTACAAGTAGCGGCCCGCATGGCACTACTTGATACTAGGATCCTTGATTACCAACATGCTTGCATTGGTACAGTCAAAACAACTTTCAATGCTAGAACTATGTTTGTAACAATATCCCAAACTTCAATATAGCTCTTTCATATCCTAAATTGCTTATTGTCCCGAAGGTTCAATTACAAATCAATGGAGCTCCTCAGACTCCAGATTTGATTGTGGCATGGTGTACTGAGTTCAAAATCACTCCATAGACTAGGAGCAAAGGATGCCCTTTCAATCTTCGTGGACAGCAATTAGATAACTTTGTACATCTTGTTCCAAGACGAATTCCTCGTTCTAAGTTGCTCAAACTCCTCCCTAATTCCTGGTTGACTAACATGGAAAAACTCCATCGAAATGTTCAGCCTATGCAATCTTCAAAGTCAAAATTCACCAAGAAAAAGGACGGCAATGAGGTCATCAAATTTGATCACTCAAGAGAAAAGGAAGAAGGCTTTTCTTCTTCAATTTTTCCAATACTTTTGATGATGCAACTGTACATAAAAGAACATGAAGGTGAAGGAGAAAGACTTGGAATAGAGTCTTTCAACTCTAAAGGACAACCCCATTGCTGCTGGGATCTAGATTGCCATTGCAAGAACTGCCATACCCCTCCACAAGATGAAGATGACAGGTGGCCTTAGAGGAGAAAGAAGAAGCGTAGCTCATCTGAGCATGAAATTTTTCATAGATGGAAAGGTGGAGATCCAACCATTGACCCCTTGGTGAAGATAGTGGTAAATATCAGTATTAGGTTTCGTACGCTGCCCCTAAATATACACATCTCCAAAACCTTCTCTGCTGACAGAATCAGTTGAAAACCTATGTGATAACACACTACATTGTTCAGTACTTTCTGTGCGAGTCTATGTCTGACAGTTTTCTTTTAGGTTCACTATGTTTTAGGAGGTGTAGCAAGGAATATTGCTGATTGCATGTCGAAGCTGGGAGGAAAGCCCTTCTTTATCAGTGCTGTGGGCCATGACATGGCAGGTTAGTATAGCACATCTTTTGATAAAAAATAATAAAAAAGTATAGCACATCTTTTGACCAAAAAAATATAAAAATGTATGACACATCTGAATTAGCCTACGTACTTTCCGTTTCAGCAAGACTTTCTAAGGGACCATTTGGGGGTACGAACTTGATGCATGGTGACCTAGGACATAATGTTTTGTAGAGTTTCAGGTTAAAGGTTATTTAGTATCTGTCTTGTTCAATTTCCTTCTTGTCTTAAGCCATGGGGCATGGAGAAAAATACTAGATAAATCCTTTAGGTCCATCTTTATTAAAAGACGTGATAACAGTAAAGAACCTACCATCTTTTCTCAGTGAAAAAACGTGATTTTGTTTTGAGTCTTGACTATGTCTATATCCATCCTGGCTACTTCCGTTGTAATTTGAGAAATTTTCCTTTAGGTTCCCTAGGTATATGGTCAAGCCTAATTATTTTTAGGGGAAAAGATAGTTTTTTTAAACAATCATCTGTTAATTGTAACTGGAATTTGGGTATGCCAGCCTGATTCTAATCAGAATCAATAAATTTTGAGGACGTCCCCAGTTGAGATCTTTTTGGAGGTCTGTGAGGGACTGGAATTGGCCATTAGGATTTTGCCAAATGTCGTCTTCACTTTTCAGATTGAGAATTTGCAAGTAAACTGTATGTATTTGAGGTACCAAGGTTTGAGAATGTTCTTCTTTCTATTTGCTCCGCCTTGATATAGTGAATGTCTGTTTTTCCTTTTTTTGGTAAAGGATATAGTGAATGTCTGTTCGTCCTTCATGCATGGTTATACGCCACTTGCTGAGGCAGGCAAATTCTTTGTCGTCTATTCATTTATCGGTTTTCTTATTGAGGTTTCTGTGTCTTCCCATGATTTTACTAACACCATCCTTTGCCCTTTGTGTCAGGGAATCGCTTATTGGAGCATTGGAGATCTACTGGGTGTCCTATTGAAGGTTAACATGCTCAGTTTAACTGCTTATCTGACATGCCTAGTAAAATCTGCTAAATAGATAGTAGTGATGGAACTTTGGTATATTTAGCTTTACAGCCAGCTAAGTACACTGCTCAAATTTATCCTTCTAACACTCTTATTTACTTTGTCATAATAAGTACTAGGTACTCTCCTATTTTTTTGGCTTCAAATAAGTTATATGTGCTTCTCGTTCTTAAACTCAGCAATTCCAAGGCAGGTATCCTTCAAACCCAAGATATTACAACTGCTGTGGTCTGCTGTGTACTTGATCCAAATGGTGAGGTAGCTGCTGGTGTTGCAAGCTTTGAGTCAATTGTAAGTTAATTTTGCTAAAAAATATCAGGATGAGCAGGCATACTTGTGTTGTCTCTAAGATTCATAAATGCACTCACCATTGACCTTTAGGAGAAATTTCTCACTGCTGAGTGGATTCAACAATTTAGATACAAGATATCTTCTGCCCCAGTAGTGATGGTTGATGCTAACCTGAACGATCGTGCTCTTGAAGCTTCTTGTCGATGTAATTCTTAACATACGACGTGGTTTGATTTTTCATCTGGCTTGATTAAATGATCTACTCTGAGTCAATAGAGAGCTCTTCAGAATTAACTTACTTGCTTTTTCTTTGTATTTTGTTTGCAGTGGCTGCAGGAGATAATATTCCTCTGTGGTTTGAACCAGTATCAGTTGCCAAATCCAAAAAAATTGCTCCTCTTGTGAAGTATGTGAGTGCTTCGCCATGTGATGTGCATTTACTTTCTTTTGTGCTATTTTTTCTGTGCTGAGTAAACTTGTTTAAGTCTGAAGTTGATAACAATCGGATAGGCTCAATAATACATTTTGTGGAATTCATGATATCATGTCTTTCAATCTCAAATTTCTGGCTCGATTGCTAATGGAGTAGTTGATTAGCATCATCCTTAGCACCTGACTGATGGAGAGCAAAAAGAAAAATATTATGATGAGAAAATTTTAGTGCTTCAAATTGATTTACTCAGACCATTAGTTATGTACACTGGAAAATGAATAAAGCAGTCGTTTTCAACATATTTCATAGAATTGCTTGCCATCCACATGGGTATGGAGGAAAATGGTGAAGTTGTGGTTTAGGTTGGAGAATCTGCATGTAGCATATCAAAACAAAATTTAGTGGCTTTGCATAGACTTTCGTTAATAATGTATGTCAGATTCATAGCCTGGTGATAATATTTCTGGGAGTCAGGATGGCTGGTGATGTTATTCTTCCACTAGGATATTAATTTGCAGTCTAGACGAGTTGAAGGAAACTTTTCCGTAGTGAATACACTTAAGTGTGATACACTCATAATATTTTTTTAATCAACTAGGAAATTATAAACCGTACATCACACACAATTGATTCATGTTTGTGATATTGTTAAACTTTGACAAGATCTCATTTTTAAGTAAAAATTGACCGCATCAAGTTCCTATCAATCAGGCAATGAAATAAAGTGTTACTGGTTTACATAGTTGACTTCTTGGTTTTGGCATCCTTTTCAGTTATGAAAACAATTTGGCATTAGGATAAACAAAATTCAGCTCACATGGGCATAGTTTAAGAGTGGCATTAAGCGGTTCCTAAATGCTGAAAGCTTCATATTGCAGATCTGCTACTAACAAAGTGGGCTCTTTGTAGGTAACTTATGTATCTCCAAATGAAGATGAGCTCTTTGCAATGGCAGATGCTCTATCCCCTGGAAAGTTATATTGTTTGAGCAAAAGGTATAAGAGCCAAAAGAACTGTCCTCCAGAATCGCTCATCAAAATGCTAAAACCCGCAATAATTCTTTTGCTTGAGAAGGGCGTAAAAATTGTAGTTGTAACCATAGGCGCACAAGGAGTATTTCTATGCTCTAAAGAGGGGTCTATTTTGACGAGAACTGTTGTGGAGAAACCCCAACCACTTGGTGTAAGTTCAGAACTGCACAGACTGATCTCACCTAATTGCCCTTCACATAAGTTTCATGATGTCAGACAGATCGAGGGAACCTCCCATCTCTTTGCTTTGCAGCTTCCTGGCCTTCCTGCATCTGTTAAGAAGCTTACTGGGGCTGGCGATTGTTTGGTGGGTGCTACACTTGCATCAATGTGTGAAGGTTTGAACATTATACAAGCCATCTCAGTTGGTATTGCAGCAGCAAAAGCCACTGTCGAGGCAGATTCAAATGTACCCTTGACGTTTGATTTAATTGGAGTTGCAGGTATGAATATTCTTTCAATAAAGACGGCAGGGAATTTATGCATTCTTGGATATTATATCAATTTCGTTTGATTCTACTTCTTTTGCTGTTTTAATTTTAATAATTTCAGTAGAGTGGGTAAGAAACAAATTGGTGTAACGGAAACGAGTGCGACTCATCAAGGAAAGTGATCGCGCCACTTGTAGAGGCTGGTTCTGAACATGATATCTTCTCTCAATAGGAATAAGCTACTGAATGTGCTGAGAATACTATAGAGGTGCATTTTGCACTATATTGCCTATCCCAGACACGGACAGAATAAATCAAAAAGACTTTCCTTAGTTTAATCATGATGCTGGATTCCTATTGTCTTTTTGAAATGGATGTGAAGTAATAATATGTAATGAGGCCAGGAATGATTGTGCCTACCCTTCCTTGGCAGATGATGCTAGGTCGGTTTACTTGGCTGCGAAGGTTGTTTATGATGGACCAGTGTGAACTGCTGCCAGCTTCGAGATGATGATGATTGTCAAGTAACTGGTGCAGAATTGGACTCAAGACTGCTCTGTCGTTTGACTTCTTTTGCTTTTGGACTTTCGTTTGGTACATTGGTGGTGTAGAATATATACTCTACAAGTAGAGTTGAGATACTGACACATGTACAGTGTTCAGTTTTTGTTACTGCATCAGTTCCATCAGTAGATGAATCCTTCCAATCAAGATGTGTCTCTAAAACATTTGACAGTTTCAATAAATTCTCTACTCATTTGAATTTCTTCTTCTAGCAGGACAAATGCCTTGATCGAGTACCATTTAGTTGAGAACCGGGGTCTCAGAGTTATCTGTATGTTTCATCCAGTGTGATGTTTTGGTTGCTATGGCACGCTTACTCCCGCCCTACGGATTCGGATGCCAGCAAATATCTCCTTGCGTTTTTATTTTACCTCCGATTTCAGAGGCTCACCATCTGAGTTCCAACTCGAATGGTGAATGATATTTCCCATTATCTTAATTGAAGCGACGAGGCTCTCAATCTCTTAGATAAAGTAGACCAAACTCATCTTGGGTTAGGTACATTGCGTCGATATACATCGATGGTGTGTGCCAACAGATCATGCTCTATTGTTAACTATTGATTCTAATATTTGGTCGGTAGCTTTATTGAAAAATATACATGGCAATGCAAGAGGCAACTTGTTATTTATCAAATAAAACGTTGGTCAACTGATTTTTTATATTTAGTTAATATATATTTTCCACGTATCATATCATAATGTGGCAAAATCAAAGGAAAACAAAACTAAGTATTGGAAAAAGGAAAATAAATCGGTTGGCAAAACGGTAACCATTGCCAATTTGAAGATTCTTATAGGTTTGTAGAAGCTGTGGAAAATGAAGAAGCAACCCAAAATGCAGATGCAGCAGCTTCTACAGAAGCAAAGAAGCCAAAAGAACAGGTCACTGATTCTGCACCTAAGCCCAAGGATTGGGAGTTCAAATCGAATCATTCAAAGGAGCAAGTCCTCGGAGATGTCTTAGAAGGAATCGAGACTAGATCATCCTCCAGAACTCCACGACGTTCCCATCCGATATAGAACCAAAGGATTTGGAGGAAGCACTGTAGGATGGAAATTGAATTGAAGTATGCAAGAAGAGCTATATCAATTCAAAGAAAACGAATTAGGGGAACTTGTATAACAGCCGGAGAATCATCCAGTTATAGATAAAAAAAAACAGGGGTACCGAAATAAGATCGATGGCATAGATTATGATGAAATTTATGCACTTGTGGCTAGATTACTAGCAATTTGCTTATTACTTGCTTATGCATGCTTTCATGTAGATATTCATCGGAAAGACGACATGCGAACTTAAGAAATATACTAGATACGTAACTAAGCATTTGCAATTATATCACATCCAATGGCGACTACATAAAATGGTTTCACATTGATTAAGGTTCTAAATTGTACTAAGAAGCTGAACTTTTGAGTCAAGAACATCTATCTAAGTTTTGCTAAAGTATACGAGCCTGCCCTAGAATTTATTTCCCCCCAAAGTTCACACTCCTCTAGAAGATAAAAGCTTAATCATGCACATACGAGGTCATGAAAAATATTTTCCATTGATTAAAACACCCGGATGGGTCGCAGTAACAAAGTTAAATCGCCTCGTGGACTTTGAAGAAGCTGGTGTTAGTGAAAACGTCGTCGTCTTGAGCATGAGGTTAGGTCCACTTGAACTGTTTTTCCTTCTCTAAAGTGCTTGTCTTTTGTATTTATAAATTGACCCACTTGGAAGTGTTTGGAGTCGACACTCTCGAGCAAAGCCAAGCCAAGAGGAAACTCTGTTTCCTCTGTTTCTGTTCTCTTCCTCTGCTTATTTCACCAGTCCCATTCTCTCCTCTTCTCCTTCTTTTTCTATTGCAGAATTGAATGTAAGATTGCAAGCATATAGCATGGCAGTATCAACGGAGGGGTGGCCAGAGGGACTCAGATTCAAATCAATGGAGGACGAACTCATCGGTCATTGATAGACGAAAAAGCTCAAAGGAGAAATAGAAACTAAATGCGTAATTCCCGAGCTATACATCTACATCTGGGAGCCTTTGGATTTATTTATCCTATACAGAGGTCCGGTATCTTACATTTAGCCATTAGTGTTCTCTATTTCCCTATTCTCTTGTGGTTTGATGGAAATTGGTAGTCGCCTATGACACCTTAGGGTCTGCATAACAACGTTTCTGTTCTCAGAAATAATTTCTGATCAGAAATAGTTTTTTCTATTTCTATTTCTTGGAACAGTTTCTGAGCAAAAAATAGCGTTTAGTAACTGCACAAAATTTATATTCCTGGAATAGAAAAAGAATAGAAACGCGTTTAGGGCGCAAATGATCCATTTCTATTCCATGGACGAGTTTCTCCCTTCTGGACTACCGGCGGAGGACGGCGGGTGGCGGTGGGGGGCGGAGGACGGTGGTCGGCGGTGGCAGAGGATGGCAGCGGGAGGCGGTGGAGCATGGCGGTCAGCGGTGGAGCATGGCGGTCAGCGGCGGAGCATGGTGGCGTCGGGCGGCGGTGACGGCAGCGGGGGCGGCGGCGGGAGGTGGCTGGCGGCGGAGGGTGGCCATCATTGGTCGATGGAGCATGCCGGCCGGTGGCGAAGGATGGCGACCGATGGTGGGTGACCGCCGGCGTCGGGTGGCCGAGGGGCGAGGTGGTCGAGGGCGGCTGGCCGGGTGGTGGCCTCGGGCGGTGGAGCACAATGGCCGACGGCCGAGGATGGCGGCCGATGGTGGGTGGGCGGCGCGGCGGGAGCGGCGACGGTGGTGGGTGATCGCCGGCGTCGGGTGGTTGGCGGGGGAGGCGGCCAGCGCCGAGTGGCGGCCGGCATCGGGGATGGGAGCACGGTGGCCGGCGGTGGAGGACGGCGGCAGTGGCGGGTGGCGACAAGCGTCGCGCGGCGGAGAACAGTGGTCGACGACAAGAGGCGGCCGGCGGACGGGAGGCGGTTGGCGGGCGTTGGCCAGCGGGCGGCGGCAAAAGGCGGGCGGTAGGTGGCGGTGAAGGATGGCGAGAGGCGGCGGTGGGCGGGTTGCGGCCGATGAATTGTTTCTTGTTTTTGGAGGATTCTAGAAAAAAAATCGTTTCTTTTTTCTTATTCTAGAAACAAGAATGCAGATTTTTTTTGCTTCTTGTTTCTGTTCCAAATCTATTTCAGGAACATTTTTTTGTTCCAGAAACAAAAAAATAGATTTTTTTTACTAAACGGATTTCTGTTCTTTTTCTGTGCCGGGGAACAAAAGAACAGAAAAACAAAAAAACAGAAACGTTACTAAACAGACCCTTAGTGAAATAACATTAAAACAATCTTTGGTTGTAGCATTATCAAGAAGACTGTTGGATGGACAGGAGTCTCTTCTTTTGTCCCCGTGGTTGTAAGAGGAAGACCGAGTGAAGATTTTGGAAAGAGACAAGTAACAGACGCGTTATACGAGCACTAGACACCGGCAAACCAATGGGGACCAGGAGGATTTTGGTTTACTATGAAGGTCGACAACCAAAGGGCTGCAAGACTGATGTGGTCAGGTACGAAAAACACCTAAATTCGAATGTTTCCGACAGTGAAATTTGGGACCCAGTACTCGACTTCTCTTCTTTTGCCTCCCCTAATTGAGCATCTCTAACATGGTTACAAGTGCAGGTGAAATTGACTTCATTTCTCTACATATGTCCCTTTCAGCTTCTTGAGGTTTCTGGCCTTGTGAGTTCATGATTTGCTAGTTTCCCCCTGTTTCATGATTTACCTTCAATGCCATTTACCTTCAATTCCAGCGGTATTTCGAACATTAGTATTCTTGAGTCAGAAGTTCTGCTGTATTTTGTGGAATTTCATGAGGAAGATTGAGTTACCAAACTTACAATTAGTCATTTTATGCGAAAGATTCATGACAGATGTTTTAGTTCCAGTGACTCCTGAAGGTTGTACTGACAGAAATAGAGTGATCCTTGCTAATCGCCATTGTTAAATTTTCCAGTGTGAATATTCCATATAGTGACATTTTCTTTTTTTTTACTGACCAAAAGAAAAATTTTCTTTTGTATCTATTCTTTCAAGTCTAAACTAAAATAGTTGAATTATAGATCAAAGTTGTATCAGAAAAATTAAATATCAAGAATTTTTGTCCTTATCCATATTTTTCAAATAACAATTTAAATGGGTTTCTTTATTTATTCACTGGAAGATTTTGGATGCACTGAATCAATTCATTTGAAGAAAGTAATTTATAATTCAAATTAGCATGAGCCTATTTATTAAAAACATAAGTTAGTTTATTATACTTTTGCCTAGTTTTTAAAAGCGCATTTCTTTATTTTTATTTTGTTCTATGTTATTCTTTTCTTGGTTAAATAGACTTTAGCAAATTAAAAGCTGTATCATGTAAATTCAAACTATATCATTGAGGAACATATTTCAGAAACTATATTAAAATAAGCCTATTAGTTAATAGTATTTTTGAAGATACTTTCTCTGATTTATCCATTTTTTGAGTTTAAACTCAATCTTATCGATTTTCTTAAATGTAAAGTCATTAAAATAAATGTTTGGATGTGACAAATGAAAAAAATTAAAAGCTTAATGTGACATTTCGAATTTCGACCAATTTTTGAGATTTATAAAACGAGTATTTTGTTAGTGCGCTTATAATAAAATCTCGCCCGGAACTGATCACTCTTGGGTTATTTCTTTTTAAATTAGAGATTTCGCTAGAATCGCACTCGATCGAATTTGGCCGTTATTTAGAGCCCGAACTTTAGTGTCGAATTTCTCGGAGTTCCGGGACAAATTTAATTGGACAGTGTCGATATTGTTGTGGCCAGCCTCGATATTGCCCGCGATATGTGAAAAGTGAAATTTTGACCGGGTGCGGATTTGGACTAGTAGACCTCCCTTGTAGTGTGTTTTAATTATTATCCTCTGGCCCTTTTTCCTAATTTATAATTGGGATTTTTGGGACCGTTAGATCAATCAACGAGATCAATTTATGAACGTTGGATCACACTCATTGTTTGACTTCTCTCTCTCTCTCTCTCTCTCTTGTCCCGCTCACTCACATCCCCTCCCCCCCTCTGTTCTGACTGTACTCTCTCCCCCCCTCCCATCACGTTCTCTCTCTCCCCTCTCTTCTACCCCAATCGTCCTTCTTCCCCCTCCACCGCACGCTCGCCTCCCGCTCACCGCCCCGCCGTCGTGCGCCGTTCGCCCACCGCCGCGCGTTCCCCCTCC